CGAATGAAATTAGTTTTGATCACGTGCGACGTCCGGTTTCGGACTTACCGTGTTCGGTTTCCGTTCGAATTTCATTCGACGCGCGTGGCTACTCCCAAACGAAATTTATCCGGTAGGAGTCCGTGCAAACATTTGAACACACCTGCATTAACGTCGCTTTATCAAGCCGCCGTCGATAATTCGTATCGTAACGCGCTTTCGTTATTCTTAATTGCGATATATCAACATAATTTACTTATGGTTCTGTTTGATTCATTAGCAATCTGCGTATTTCCACTCGTCGGTTCGGGTTCGTCGAACATGTTATGAATACATTCGTAATACCAAAAAAGTCTGCGGAGTTCGTATACAATTTTTATGAAACATATATAAATAGTAAATCAAAAATTTAGTACAAAATTATTTTATCAATCGATAACATTGAATGAACGTCGAACGAAGTTTAAGTAGTATAACATACGCATGGTGCGCCGTTATTTACTTCTGGAATAAAATTTTTTACGAACATAAAATTATATAGTTTCCGTTCTACATTATTTCATTTGCCAATTGCCTTGTTTGCTTATGATTTTATTATATATTTGGCTCTGCGAGTTTCATTCAGAGCCGAAGAATCAAATTACCGCGTAAAAGGCTGCGTAAATGTTTAAGCCCGTCAAATAATATTATTTTACGACGATCGATGAACGCGATATACGCTCTCATTATCTTTAATTGCCATATATCGACGTTATCGAATCACGGAACTTTGCTCATTAGCAATCTGTGCATTGGGACCGGTTATACGACGGTCCTTTGATTCGCACGCAAACCAGTTTACGTATGAATTTAGTGATTAGAAACTATTGATTAAAGCTTGGTAATTACGTGAGGCTCGAGGATCTCAGAATTATGATACAACGTATCAATCGTTACAGTAATTATATCATTCAAAACTGACGATTACATTCTAAGTGTAACACAGTAATTATAAGAGACAGAGATGCGACAGAAATTGAACAGCATGAGAAATAAGATTTTCTTTAATCGGATGATAAAAAGTTGTATCAACAACGAACATGGTGTAAAAGCATGAAATGTTTCGACGTTAAGTCGGTTAACATCCCATAAAAAAAATTTGCATTTTATTTCGCTTCGGATATCACGTATACCGTGAACGATGACTCGTAAATCGGCGTTACGTCGTATCTCAAGGGAGGAAGTGAGAGAGACAGCGTTAGAATGTTAATGCAGCCATCAACTTTCGACGTATAGCGTAGGACTGTAAAACAGTGCATGAATCTCTTACGATGTAACAGGTGAACGAAGATTGTAACTGAATGGGGTATTAAATTTGCTACTGAATTATGAATAAAAATAATGTAGCTTTGTTATCGTAAATATTCCATGTAGGAATAGTGAAACATCGCGTGATATATTTGCGAAAAAAAAAACCCGAGATCGAGTCATGAATAGGGTGACTGGGTCGGCGATCTGTACCAGGCAAGTAAACCGGCGTAATTATCGTGTCGATAATCGAAGGGCAAAGTTTCTGTAGAAGGCTTCTCGGCCCATTGATACTGGCAGAGTCGTTAGCCAGCCTCCTTCCTGTTCCGCCAAGTCCAAATAGTACCCGTGCAAACTTGTCGAAGTTTCGAATGCGCCACGGCCCAGGCCGAATACGTAATGAGTACGTGGTCCCTTGGCTTTGGACCATTATGCGAGCCGGACCATTATGACTAATCGCTCGGAATGCCTTTGCTATCGGGGCCAGGCAAACATTTTCGCGACGAGAACGATCGGTCGGCAACCAGAAGCGGTAAAAAATTAGAGTCGATCGTTAACTTCGCTGCACAGTTCTATGTATATGTATAGACGAAATAGCTCCTTGCGCTTTGACTATCGTTAGAAGTTTGCTAGACGCGACACTCAACCATTTAATCCTAGTCTACGACCTAATCTCTCAAACGTTAGTACAGTCCAGTTAAACTAGCGATAAGAGAGGAAAGAGCTGAAACGACGCTCGAATGTGTCGTTGTGGAATCGGTGCAGCAGAGAAGTGTGATGCTTTCTGAGGGAGACAGTGATAAATATATAGGGAGACAGGGAGAGCAAGATAGTGGAGTAGTGAGAAAGGGCAATGGACGCTCAGGCATTGGTGGCACCGTATTAGCGCAGCGATTGCCCGCAGCAGGTCTCAGCTAAGTGAATAGCTCTGCCGAGGGCTTTGCTGATTATGGTGTCGTCATTGATCCAGATCGAAATTGGCTTGCTTCTGTCATGGAACGTGCCCAGAGGACCATTAATATCCTCCTGGGGCCCCGGCAGGAGGAGAGAAACGGTCGGGGAAAAGGGAAAGGGGTGGCCCCGGTCACAAATTTTGCGGTGTACGCTGGTCTCGTGTGACCCTGTCGCTACGAATCGATTCGGTAATTGGGCTGTTAATTCTGGATTAGCTCGACCTTTAATTCAAAATTTTTCGCATGCTTCCCATTACAATAAATTCAGTTAGTTTCTTTCAATTCATATTTGTCCGATCGACTTCACCGTCGATTATCATTAGCACAATACTTGGTACTAGGAATAAAGTGGATTATGGACAATAACTTCTCCCATTAGTATCGAGTCGAGTGTAGAATTCTGAAGCAAATAGAATGAGTTCCACGAAGAGTGCATACGGAGTGGATGAATGAGTTGGGAAAAAAGGAATGATTGCAATGGCGAATCCATCGAGTGTCCGCATTCAATTCGCGGGGTTGAATTGGCTTTCTGAGGGAGTTTCTGCAAGATATACCGGTTCGATAATGTACGTTGACGGACTTCATAATTAGGGGAGAAGTCAATTATATGGAAATGCGAGGCTTTTCTTTGTTGAACGCATTTCGAAATTCTTGCACGTTCTCTTCGCGCGCTCGACCTTTTCAAAACTACCACTGTAGCTATCAAAGCAGCTTTGCAATTATCGTCTGAATTACGAGCATAGTGCATCACCAGACACTATTTGTATCTTCGTGTACTGTTGTCGGAGAAATCATTCTGCGCATGTTGAGTCTTGTACTTTATTGTACGATCGTCGATACAATTTGGAACGTGTACCACAAAAGTATCAATTTCTCTTCCTCCCAACTTTCACCCCTATCGGATCTCCGGATGGAAGGATTAATTACAAACATGTCCGGACCCGGTACGAATTCAATGGAAGGTAATTTCGAATTGCTCACGTGTTGTCACTCGGGTACGAGAACAAAAGTTATAACTGATAACGTGAACGTGAAGTCAGACCCCACTGTCAAAGATATGGAGTTTCAATCTGTGCGAGTAAAGTGGAAACACTGGAGCTGGTAACTGGGAAAGTCAGTTTGAAAAGGGCCACTTCCGCGACAGGACCGTTAGAACACGTGAGAAGATCGTTCAGCTCTGTATCCTGGTTATTGACTAATTGAAGATCCTAAGAGAGATACCTAGCCATCTGCCGAATCAGATTAAAAGCCAACTCGTTACGTGAGATCAAAGAGAACCATTTTCGACCGATCGAATAAAAATACTCGGCTCTGATTGCACTCGATCGGGTGTACAAGAAAAAAATCTGCACATACGTTGAAACTTAGTTCTATCAGCTTTTCGGAGAATTCATATTCCTATCAATTTTTTAGTTCGTACAATAGTTCATTCAAATGGTAATTATGATTTTATTTCATTTTTTAAAGATTTATTTTTAGATTTATCAAGCTTTAAAAAGTAATACAGCTTTTTTTAACGTTATTTTTCTAAATTTGTCGAAGAGTTATTTGAGGATGAACTACGAGCGAATATATTTCGTTCTCCCTTTCGCTTATTCCCCTCTTTATCTTCTTGTTCGATTCCCCTATCCATATGTGCAGATTGCCAATATCATGCCACTATAGTAAGAACCGCCCGTACGGATAGGATCTCTAGGTCAGATAAGAGTTAGTCTTCACTTGTTGACCCGTTTCAACGATCGTAATTTATCGAGATACGTGAGAACTAAATATAGGCATTCGTTGAAAGATCTAGACTAGATGCTCCTAGTTATTTCCCTGCATCAAGACCAAATATCAGAAATAACTACAGACAATTATCATTCAATATTAATAAACAGCCTGGTGTTTGCTTTTCAACGATTCAATCACGAATGATTTCCTGGAATTTCTTAAAAATTAAATAACCTCCTATGGCCAAAGTTAATTAAATCAGCGGACGTATTTATAAAAGAATGTACACGAACGTTTAATTAAATGCGAAATTATCATCGGAACTTTTCGAGCATAGTTAATACAATCACGTATTCGATTCACTTCTGACATTTCGTGATTTCGTGCACCGCCTGCGCGAGTGTTTCCCAGTATTGGTCCCCCGATTGCCTCCGGTGCGACAGGTCCCCTTTGAATTTAATTGACCGCTCTTGGATTACTCCCGTCGGGTTTAGACATAAACTTGCCCGGGATTTACCGATACATTCCTTTGGTAACCAGTCAGATAGTTTCGGCCGAAAGTTCGTGAGCTCCGTCGTTCGCCGTTAAACGGTAACCAATCTTGCCAATATTACTTCGATCGATCGAATGTCACCCAGGAATAGCCAAAAATGTTTGAGACATAAGCGAATTTCTCAAATTATTTTTTTTACAATATTTCGTCACCCAACATTTTCTAGTATTTCGTACAAATATGATAAGCTCGTTGCTTTTATTTACGCTTTGAATTCCGATGGCATTAGTTAGTTTCTCAGGGGAATACATATAGTACAATCTAAAACAAAGGGACTGGACGTCGGTTCGAACCGCAGCACAGGAAGTCCCGTTAGGCGGTGGGGTTAAAGACAGTTGTTGAAACGAAAGCCGTGCGGCACACGGGAAGTTTGTTTAAAACGCGAGACAATATCGTTAAGTTGGATTGAAGTAATTAAACACGGGGATCCCCGTGGCGGCGTTGGACAAAGTTGAGATCCTAATTAGGAATGACTAAAGAACGAGTCTACGAGTCTCCGCTTGTTTAACGCTCACCTGTGCGCCGACGAGGCCGGCACGTAATCTAGGAATGTCTGTGTGGCTCCAGTCCGATCTGGCCCAAGGATCAACCCTGCCCAGATCGCTGCTCAGATTGACCTCGCCGAGTTGATTGTGTACGAACTTTCTGACGTTCCAGGGCAAATCGTTGTGCCTGAGGAACAAAACCGTGCGAAACATTCGGTGAAACATTATGTAACAGAGAGTTTTCTGTTTTTCAAGTAAAGCAATAATTTAAACCATAACATATTTAGTGATTAAAAAAAAAAAAAAAACAGGTTTCTATCGCAGTGAATGGAATAAAGTTTAGAGTAAGATTATTTCTTATATTTATACGAAAGTGAACTTACCCATCGATCAGAGGCACTTCAGTGAGGATCCTCCTGATCACGTCCAGCCTCTGCTGATGCGTGACAGGCGCGGTTTGTAGTAGCAACGGTAGACAAAGCCCCCCGAGAAGTAGAGCCGCCACTAGAAGCAAGATGGGCGCCAGTACTCGACACCTCCTTCGAGGACTCTCTTCCCTGCGGTCTTTGCTGCTGCCGCTGCTCGGTGAATCCTCGCAGGGCGGTGGCAGTCGCACTGTGCCGTTGCACGGTGCCACGTCTGGCAGTTCTGTTAGGCACGTCGTCTGTAAAACACGAAAGAGTAACGTGAATTAAATAATATCTTTCTGATACGTGACAAACGTTCAGAAAATGATTCTTCATCGTGTAACGTTTCAAAGATTGTATAGGTGAATCGTGAACCTTTTAGGTAAAAATGTATTAGAAACGACCTGCTAATGGCAGTTGAAAAGCAGCTATTAACGAGCGCTCAACTATCTGCTGGAAGGTAGATTATAGTTTAGAGTCGGTTAAACTCGCGGCATGGCTGGCGGCAAGTGTAACACGTCTCGCGGAAAAATGTGAGAACCGGGGGGCGGGGTGCGGAACACGACCACGTAACCGAGGGATATCCACCGGGGCGGTGGAGACGCATTGCAGACTCCGTAGAACTTTCCTTCGCACTTATCCCAACTCCTATAAAGTAGAGTAACACTGAGACGGGTTTTCCACGCGTGTCTCTAAATCCCTCTACCGCCCACCAACACTCTTAGCGCCCGGCGAAACTTTTATCGAGCTGACGCGAACCGGAGAGTTATTTTTCTTCACCCTGTAACAAGCTAGCAACGATTCTATCTCAGTTTCCCATACGTGTCTCTATGATCTCCTTATGCATATCAGCAGCAGAAGTGGAGATATATTACTGAAGAACTTTTCTGATAAAATAGAATTCCTTTGATCTCTTTCTGGATTTATAAATGATTGGTTTTATTCCAATTATCTTGTTTGATAAAAATTTTACATCCTGCAGTTTCATTTTAATTTCATTTAACATTAGCGAATCGAGCTTCGAATATTTTATGTTATTACATAGTTACTGTTCTCGAATGTAATCACGTAAGCAGTTCCGACGCATAAAGCGCGCGTAATCATGTATATTCGAATAGAGGCAGGGATGAACCGTCGTGTTCTACGCACAAATTGTCAGTCCTTTCACCGCATAGGTAATTCCATCGCTAACTCTGGCAGTTTAGGGCAGCATTGTGATCCCGCGGAAGGTAAGGGAAATCCCAGTTTCATTCGGATTCCCCTCGTTCCGCAGTTCTCGGGTTTCTTCCATATACACGCTCGCACATCCACCGGCGCGGTGGGTACCCACTCTAGAAACTTCGCATCCCTGTGCATCCGCATTATTGTGCGCCATAAATACAGGAAACTCGCCGCTCGGGCGCGGCGCGGCGTCTGCACACGGGCAAAGGGACGCCCGGAGTTGTACGTCAGCCAGATAAAAGTTTCGTCGATGCTCCAACTGCCAGCTTCTTTCAACTTGCACAATATAAAAAATGTTATATCCAGCGACGACCGGGAGGTTTACGACGCGTCAGTTCAAATTGCGATAGCTTAATCGAACGTCGTTGTTTACGGATGTCTCGTTAAAAAACAGTCGATTAATTGCCGAGTGTTGCAGAAGGTTATAAAGTCTTAGCACGAACAGGTAAAGAGTGGCAACGTTATCCTTCAGTTGTCACCGAAATGTATCGCGTTTCAGCGTGGGGATGTTAAAAATTAAATTGTATTTCAAATGTATTAAGTGTCTAACGCGAGGGCAAATTGCATCGCATCGATAAATGGGAAAATTGGATCCATTTTATGCGAAACGAGATCGCTCCGGACCTCCTTGGTCGTGTGGAACGTGATTTTTAATTGATCGACGCTATTCGAGGCTCGAGGTTCGAATTTCGATTCTAATTAGGACAGACGTATGAGCAGGACGGGGTAGAATTTATGCGAACTATCGTAGCGTGTAGCGTTATGGCACGTTAACAAGAAATTTCGTGCTGGTCGGATGTTATCGATGTTATACGTGTCCCGTTGAAAGTTCTCGTAAACAATCCTTTAATTTGTACGCGATTGTGCTAATTGGGTGCTATAAACGGTTTAGAACACAGTGTAACCGATCGTAGGTATCGTCCGTTACGACAGATTTCAAGTTTGTTGGAGTGCATTAATTGATACGTTTCTAACGAAGTTCAAATTCCTTATTCTGTTCTGTTGAATCTAATACCCCTGGCCCCATTGTAGACCTCTTTGATACAGCTGTTATGTACGAATTTTATACCATTTTATATTATAATATTTCTAGTCTCTTTTTATATCCACTGTTCTTACAAAATTCTTCTTCTATTTATTTGTTGGGAAGTATATTGTAAGGTGTTTCTTTTCGATGAATGCACACGAACGTTTAAGTAGTATAGGGAACGCATGGCCCGACAGGCCTACATGTAAGCCTGTTCTACTGTCTTTAATTATCTTCCTTTTTTTTATGTGCATTTAAAGTTCTATCGACTTTGTTATAATTAGAAAAACATTTTGTTTGGGACGAACAGTCGATTATTCTGCGAGTGTGTCGCAGTGCATAATACTCTGGTAGTGCGATAACAGCTCGGTGATAACGCGTACATTTCGGAAATCTTTCGGGGCCAAAGCTACGAACTGTCGTTCGACTTTCGAATTGTCGAACGTTCCGGTTCTCTCCTCTCTGCCATTGTCTTTGTCCGTCACTTTCCGGCGTCCTTGTCCCCGACGATATTCCCGATTCTCTCTCTCTCTCTGTCTCTCTCCCCCCCCCCTCTATCTGTCTGTCTCGAGCTTCCTCCTCGTTACTGGCACATCGCCACACGTTAACGAGGGAACAAGATGAAACTTCGCCGACAGATATTCCCGAGTCAGGGAATTCTCCGGTGCCACGTTTCGGGCACCGGAATATTCAGCATCGATGTGACATCACGTACATCCCGCGCTTCCGGGTTTTCTCCGAGCTCGAACACATTCCCTCGTTCACCAGAGAGCCTGTCCAAGGCCAATCGGTGTCCTGCTGGTGACGAACCCTGCTTGTTTCGTTTACGGTACAGGAACTGTCCTCCAATGTGGACACCGATTTGCCAGATTGCGCGTTAGTCCCGAAACGATGTCTGCGCTATGTACCACACTTGGGTGTCGTTCATCGCAAATAACTGACTGATGAAGGTCTTGCTTTATACGAATGCTACTGATGCTTAGCGTTCTATTGCTCCATTGTTTATTAGACTGCGAATTCTTATGTACAATAAAACTTGTAGGATATGAATTGAAGAAATTATATTTAATAAGAACGTCCTTTAATCTTTTAAACATCATTCTATACATTTTTCTGTTGATACTTCATGCACTTTTGCCCATTATATGATTTATTATTTTTATATTTAAAATCTTTTAATATATTCCATTTTGCTATGCTAAAATTAGTACTTTATTTATTCTGAATTTGAATCATGAGATAAGAAAAGAGAAAGTAATATAATTTTCAACGTTTATAGAATTTAGATATGATCCGTTGTTAAATAAAATATTTTATTAGTTGATTGTATACAACTTCGTGTGGAAGAATTCGAATTTCGTTTTATTCGTACGAATTTCACCTCATTCGAGGAAGTATGTCAGCATTTCCTATTCACCCGAGCAACTGGCCGAAGGGAAAATAATTACCGTGCAATAATTGTTGACAATTATAACTTCACCTCGTTTGCCAAAGCGTCGCAGTCGCTCGAGAAATGGACACACTGAACCAGTGTAACGTGACGGTGGTCAGAAAGTTTCTCCGCATATCTGCTACATCGAATTCATTGTATATTAACAATTATCGCACCTTGTATCCAGCATCCTTGGTCCATTAAAATTGAGTATTAAAATCAGGCTGCAAGTGGAATTTACAAAACTGATGAAAAATTCAACGTAGAAACTTGAACACATTTAACATTTTATTATAAAACGCAACATTTCGCCAGCGTCATTAATTAATTGGATATTTTCTACTATACTTTTTAGTACGTAGCTATTTATTATTAGCATTGTTCTTCCGACGTCTGATTTTTTCTTAATTATAGGAAACTTATAGGCGTTTTTCTAAGGTATACCAACTTTTGGGATTGACTGTATAGCCAATACATCCTTAATGTTTTACAATCTCACAATCGTTTTAGTGGCTTTGGCTTCCACGAGAGTGATTTCTTTTTCTATGGGAAGTCTTTATTGCATCCGAGCGTGCAATTGTAGAAAAGTCTCTTTCCGTCGACTGCGGACACCAAGTTCGCGCATTAATTAAGCGCGTTAATTGTGCCGACCGAGAACGGCGGAGCAGCGGGGGAAACGTTGTTACGGGTAACGCGAGCGACGTTTTATTACAGTTTCTTTCCGGCCGCCGCAGCGATAAATCAGAATTATTACGCTGCACGAAATCAATTTCGATATCTATCCCTGAAGCGGAATTGCCAATTGGCCCTCGAAAAATTACGATCGTCTGCGATGAGAAAAAAACTAATTGAAATTTCGGAAGCCTCCGCGAACGAGTTTTAAGTTTCCCCCGTTCATTGAATATTTTTTAACACACCCGGATTTTACAGGATTTCTTAATTCCGTGGTTTTGGAAAATGAAAAAGCATTTCTTATTTTATTATTTATTGGGTAGACTGAATTTTACACGTGCTACATTATGCAGTTTCAATTTGAGTTTCCGAAGCTCTTCTGTCTTCAACAGGGGAGTAGATAATTAGGGATCGCGACACTAACGAAGTATCCTCTGGCAATTGAATTTCGCCAGATGGTTCGACATAATTACTCGGCTCTGGATTACTTTAAGTCTCGCCCGGTCGATTGTAAAATCGATCGCCGCCGTAATTCTCCGTTGTTCCGTCGTCTCGCGTTTACACAGCGGCGCTCGTTTTTTGGCCATCATCTGTTCCAGTAATTAAGGAACGGTCGACGACGGAGTCGTAAATGGTTATTAAAGGCCGCGCGTTACAGTCGTTATAGAGTTTCCGTGAAGGCGGGTTCATTAATTAAAAATTCTTTAAAATTAGTTTCTACGTTGAACCCGCGGGACATACTCCTGCGAACTTTGTCATCAGCGAAATAAAAAGATTCGACATATACACAGAGCGACTTTTTTCCTACAACAGCAAAAGGGTCAACGAACTTAGACTACCTGCTGATTGCCTACAAGTTTATTAATTCTGCAAATAAAAACTGACTTCCGTCGCTGTATTAAAAT